ATTGCAATATGTCCTGCTATAATGTGTTGTATCTGGAAATGTAAATATGTTCACTGGTAGCTTCAGTGTTGCAATATATCCTGCTGTAACGTGTTGTATCTGGAAATGTAAATATGTTCACTGGTAGCTTCAGTGTTGCAATATATCCTGCTAGAAGAGTGATTATATATACAAATATATTAGCAGTTAAAAATTAAAAAAACAAAAACAAGATCACTCAGATTTACGTACTGTATCTAAGTTGATTTTAGAAGAATGTTTATATACATTTACCAAAGACTGAAAAGTTCGAATTATTCTCGTGTGGATACACCCTGACGTACAGCCAAACCACCGCGGTCTTGAGAAGGCTCCATTCTGTCGCAGCTATTTGGTGGGATATCGTAATTCGACTCTGTATCTCAAGGGTGGAAGAAGTCCCAACGCACCTGACCCACCTGGAAACTTGCCAAACACTGGCCATGGTTCGACCGACAGACCCTTATAGCCTTAAATGTCTACGTATTCGATATGTCCTTATTAATTTGTGGGTGTTTAGAATAAAAAATGTGGGAAAACAAGAAATGCGCCTCTAACTATGTGCTATTTCCCGATGTGTACGTTTGGTAAAAAGAAAATAAATACAACTATTTTTACAAAAGAGCTGTTACAGTGCATACACAATTATATTTTATACAGAAAAAGAAACATGGATATTAACGGCCTGAATTAGCAACTGTTCAAATCCTTGTTTTAGTTATCAGAACAGCAAGTTTAACCGCAATGTTACATACACGAGTATGTTATGATCTACATCCAGCTAAATGAAATCGTATTAGTGCAACATTTAAATTGATTTTTTGATTATAAAAGATTTTCTTACCTTGTGCTGATAGTTACCAAACTAAAAGCACTGAATGTTTGTCGATCACTTGAAGACAATCTAAGATTCAGATATGTGTTCTCATTTACGTTAGCTGTTTCCAACATGATCAGAAATATACATATACATATATACCAAACTAAAAGCACTGATAGTTTGTCGATCACTTGAAGACAATCTAAGATTCAGATATGTGTTCTCATTTACGTTAGCTGTTTCCAACATGATCAGAAATATACATTTATTAATAATAGTTTTTATTTCAATGCTATCTTTATACAATGAATCAAGAATGTAAATAAAACATACTTCAATATGACGTTAGCTTCCCAATAAGGTAAAATACTGTATGTAAAAAAAAAAGAAAATAACTCCAGGGATTTTGAAATAAGCAAATGTTGATGAAAAAACTACGTGTTTGAATAGAAGTATCTAAACCAAGATTTCTACAGAAATTCCAGTTCAGGTTATGTTGACGAATTAACATCAGTAGAAAACAATTAAGATTGAACAACCTCCTTCTTAACATCAGTAAAAAAACAAACAATTAAGATTGACCAACTTTGAAACAGTCTTCTGACGTTCAGTTTGAGACTCAGTTCCATTACTATTTCGACGTTCCTTTACGTTTAAATTTGGAACTGTTTCTTGTGCTATCTAACAAGTACACTATATTAACAGAATTAAGGTTTAATGCTTGGGAGTACATTTGACAAACTGTCCGAAAAATCTGATCAATGCTTAGGACACATCAGTTTTTGTTTTAGAATCATTGATTGATTTTGTATACAGTTTGATATAGTTTATTTTAGGAACAACTAATGCAAGAATGAATGTTTAGTGATTCACATGAACATTGATATTGCATGAACCATGAACCAACAATAACAAAAAAAAAAGGTTGCTAAAGAAAGCTTGCGTCCTACTTCAAGCAAGCTTTGAGTAGTTTTAAGTAACGTGTTAGTAACAACAGAGACAGCTCCATCTTTCTAGTGGTGTTTAAATTTTCTCAAGTGCATTCCCGGTTTAGAAGAGGATCTTTAATAAAATTCTCGGAAGCTCAAGTGGTCTCGGATGTGATTCCATAATGTTATTTCCTGTTCCCAATGTATGTTACACCAAAGTGGTGGACCATGAATTAATATTAATGGTAAATGGATACGACTTATAATTCGACGATTTGAATTTACAGATATCTTTAACCTTTCAACATGAACAAAAAGATAATTGTATATTTTTACTAATTATTTACCAGTAAATTAACTTTAAAGTTAAAGAAAACAGGAACATGACTTCATCTAACATAAACAATTTACTAATACCTGGGTATCAATTTTATTAAAAGAAACAAAAATATTAGGGTTACTTGATGCAATTTTTTAGTAACAAACTAGTGAGTTTTTCTACAAAATAAAGTTTTATAAATAAAGTGAAAATATTCGGCATATTGAAAAATTTTTTCTTAGAAAAGGGGGTAATGAAAATAAAATTTCAAATGTCGAAAGTGATGAAAACCACGTATTTTTGTTGTGTATGATATTGGAGATTGCGTCTTTAAAAATGACCAAGATATAAGTATATATATTATTTGAACAAAATATTCTAAATATACACTTTGTTTCTTTCAGCTGTAACAGTACGGTATCTGACCAAGAGATACATTGGTGAATACAGTTCGAGTAGAGGTAAGCATATCAGAGCCAATTATAGAAACGAAACATGATGGGGGAACGTTTATCTTTACTCCTTAGTTTGTTTTGGACACCACCAAGTTTGTTTATTCACTACAGTCAGGCATTTAAAGATTACCTCACTTAGTTTTTAGAACTAGAAATGTCAATAAAACTAAGAGGCTTGTGAAAACTGTAGGTTCAAAATTTGAAAGCGTTTAAAGTGACTCATGACGTAATGCTTGAACAATTTCTAAATTAAAACATTGCTGGAAACTAATCCTTTCTTTTAAATCAGTCTTAAAAGGATTTTAGAATAGTACATGATATCAATTACTAACTTATGCGTTAATGCATATAAGTATTATAAAAAAATTAGAAGTTACTTTAAATTCAGAAATAGTGTGACTTACAAAACGATAACATATTCATATGTGTAAAGGTGTTGGAATCTATAGAATGGTGCTTATTTATGATCTGACAGCTAGTTCAGAACACTTAGTCTTGAACTGATTTCTAATATATTTCAGTATTTTGTACACGTGGTTTGCACTGCATCGGTTTAGAACCAAAATGATCTGTAAACATTTTCTAAAATTCTGAGTTTTTCTTGTTACAACGTTGTAGTATTTACTCAAATAGAGCACAATAAGTTATTTTAGGTACTTTGTCAATAATATATTGACTTTAGAGTAAGTATGTTCTCCAATGAAACATTGGTTTTATAGTTTGTACAGTAAAATATTTTTAAAGACAATTAATGACTCATTAAAATTTGTAGAATGTGCAGAATATCTTTTAAATCACGGATTTCTCCATTAATTTATTGGTTCTAAAGTGCTGCTAAAAGTTTCAAATAAAACTAACAAGTAGAACCTTACCGTAATGTTCTGTTTCCAAAGCACTAAGAACTTACCTTCATTACTAATTATTATTAAAATCACTGCACTACGTAAGTACAATCACGGGTGTTTTGTCGTGCTGTGTAGTCCCCTAGAAACTGAAATTAACTGGTTTTAATCTTCTCTTAGATTTGCTGTATAAGCATGGGGTGTTTGTGGACAGCCAACCGTGTGAAGTTGAAATCCTTGACACCTCCAGATTCCAGGTGATTATCAAAATAGATATATACTTGCATAATGTAAACCTAAAATATTATGATAAGCTCAGAATTTATTTAGCCAAGTTTTCAATATATTACATTCAAAATGCAATATATGTATATTCTATCGGAATGACTTGCACTGAAGGCAAATGATCGGCATGATTTTATAACTTAAGAACTAACAAATATACAAGATCCGTTCAATAGTACAACATTAAACAACTGAACGATCACAGTTTACTATACTGTTGTTAATTTTTTCTGCTGCCAGGATGATGTTTTTCCTGCTGATAAGGTCGACTGGGCGGATGCTTTCATTGTTGTATACAGTACAGCGGACCGCCGTAGTTTCCAGGTAGCAACGGATAGTTTGCGACGAATTCAACATCAAGTGGCAGGCAGGCAGGTGCCAATAATTTTACTTGGCAACAAAAGAGATCTAGAGCATGTTAGACAAGTAAGCGTTGACGATGGCCAAGAGATGTCTTTGCAGTTCCAGTGTCAGTTTTATGAAGTTTCTGCAGCTGATTCACATGTGGGAGTAACTGTAGCCTTTCAAAGTGTTTTACGTGAGGCTTATTCACTGAAAACTCGGCGATCGCTACCCATTCGACAGAAACTGGGGTCCATGACTGTGTCGAAGATGATTGGTGCTGTTTTTGGTAAAGCTGTTAAAAATGACAAAAAGAAACGGCCATCTCTGTCTTTATAATCATATTCATTTTTGAAAACGTGACTAATCATTTTTTTTATAGTCTTAAAACGCATCTGATATCAAAAGTTTGTTATTTCTAGAAAACGATCCTGCGGGAATGATACTAGGTTCATTAAGGATAAGACACCTTTGATCCCCCCTTAAGAGCCTACAGTTTCTATATGGGCTTGTATTGAGAGGTTTAAGGGATAAAAGGTTGATGTGTTAGGAAAGTATATTTATATATAAACTTATAAATGTTATATGAAAAAATAGGTCTAGAAGGTTTGTTAATTACTGGGAAGGGGGGGGGGGTAGGTGTGTATCAACATGTGAGCCTAAAAGATATCATTTATAAATTCTTATTATTATATTTGCTCATTTGGCTTAGAAAATTGAATATTCTTTACGATGATGTTAAAGATAATGTTATTGAGTATTGACCTCTAAGAAACCTAATTATTTTACATTTGGTGTTATCGGTGTGTTTATGGTAGAGTATTTGATGGATGATAATTAGCAATGAGAAATAGAACACACATATTTAGATAACAGAATTTAAAATCAATCTATTTGGGATTAAAAAGCTGATCAGAACCTTCCATTTCCAAACATTCCATTTTGGTACTGCTCTGTGATGTTTTTAAAATATAATTCTTGAATAATAAACAAATAAAGAATGTACATAAAAGGAACGTTGTATTTTACTTTTGTAAATAATTAAATGTTTTGTTTCATTTAAAATTATTTATAGATTTACGTTCACTGTCAAGGTTTTCGTAAGGCCTAATTATTGATGTAAATAAGTCACCTCAAAGTGTACATCTAGTGCTGTACATATTGATGTACATATTAAGTACATTTGTTGTTTTATTTTCAAACATAATAATTGTGGAAATTTGTTTTAATTAAAGCTTTTTTCTATTATTATGATGAACGTTATATGTACATAGAAAAATTGTGTGTAAATTATTCCACTGTTACAAGCCATTTTGCTCTCCTTGTATAATTTCCTGTTCAAACAATTTTGTCAAGTAGTTGATTGTATATAAATGCTATGCAAGTTGTTTGTTAGTATTAATTCAGGAAAATAAAGATTTATCACAATGAACGGTTTGCAGCGGTAAATTTTCTTTGAATTTGTCATCAGATATTCGCTAAACGATGATTACGTTATTGAAACTGGGCAAAACCATTCATACAATGGCAGCACCAACAAAAGCACGTTTTTCTATTTTCACAGAAGTAAGTTCTTCTAAAACAAAATCATCTACTTAACACTATCATACAACTTTAATATGAAGTGAGATTAATAACATTTTTCGCAAAGTTGAAATAAATATAGTCTCGGGTTTCAAAATATCGATAGTGTATGGTTCTTTCTAGTGTTGAAAGAAAAAATATATATATAAAATTAAAAACAACAACAAACATATACAACAATTCAAAAGTGAATCCGAGGGTTTAAGGCGCTCCGAACTTTGAGGACATGAGCGCGCTATAAGCTTGATGGTCAAATCCCATTATTAGGTGAGACAACTGTCATCAGTTTAGTTTAAAATTAGGAACGTCTATACGTATAGTTTTGTGTGAAAATTCTAAAAGTACCCAAACAAACTTCATAATTAACATATTTTAAGTATAGCTTCAAAAGTATTGTAAAATTTCAAAGACAGTGTCTCCACTATACTTTTTTTACTTCTTGTTTAGTTGTTGTCAAGGTCAAAGCTACAGAATGAGCTATTTTTGCTGTTCCCATCACGGGTATCGAAACCCGATTTTTAGCGTCATAAGTCCAGAGATTCATCACTGAACCACTGAGAGACTTTTATGTTTTTATTTTAAGCTGTGATGAAAAAAAAATGAAGTAATCTATAACCACAAATAAAATTACAAAAACATTATAAATGGACTATAATGACAGTAAGATATACTAAGCGTGCGAAAAGTCATCTAAGATCAACAGTAAGCAAGACTGTGAGTTTTAGATTTATTTAAGTAGGTATTTATGAAATAGTTAACATGGTTAGTTTGATTAATAGATTGAAAATGATAGATAAGAGATCCGACAAGTCTTCAAACCGAGAAACTCAATAACTAACAGGCAAAAATAACGAAATTGGTAGTTTTTGGAGTGAAAACGAAGTTTTAAGCACAACAGTTAATTTTGAATCATTAAGTAAATATATCATCAGAAAAGGTACAATGAATAAAAGTTTGCATTTTAAGTTCATAGTGTTATCAATTACACATTTCGTAACGAAAGGTTAGAGAACATTTGGATAATATCGGCATTAACTACATTTTTAATACATTTTTTTTTACAAAAGACATGATTGGCATGGATAAAAATAGTTTAAAATTATCATACAACTAAACCTATACTTTTGTTATACAGTTGAAATGATGATGAAAAATTATATTAGTTGAATTTGAAATCAGTAGAACATTGTCAAATCAACATCATTGCTTAAAAACATATTTAGTCAAAAACTAATAAATGAAACAATAGAGATTAAAGAGCTTATTTTATTGTTTGAATTCGAAACGAAGTTATTTTATGTTGACAACTATCTCATTTGTTCGAAACGAAGTTATTTTATGTTGACGACTATCTCATTTGTTCGAAACGAAGTTATTTTATGTTGACAACTATCTCATTTGTTCGAAACGAAGTTATTTTATATTGACGACTATCTTATTTGTTTGAAACGAAGTTATTTCATGTTGACGACTATCTCATTTGTTCGAAACGAAGTTATTTCATGTTGACAACTATCTCATTTGTTTGAAACGAAGTTATTTTATGTTGACAACTATCTTATTTGTTTGTTTGTATTAGAATTTTCGCGCAAAGATAGAAAAGTATTTGAGTCTAGTCGTTCCTGATTGGCTAGAAGGAAAGTCGTTCTTTGTTATTTTTGTTTGTTGAAAGCGTTTTGCACTAGCCGTTCCTAGTTAGAGCTAGAGGGAATGCAACTAATAAACATCACCGATCGCCAAGTCGTAGGCTAAGGTATTGTTGGGGGATTTGACTATCACTCCGACTGCTCATCTACGACCATAAAATGCAAATTGTGTTGTTGTTTTTTATGCATCAACGGGTCGCGAACCCTGAAATTTTGATTCATAGTCTGGGTATGCTAATCGCTAGACCACGCCCAGACCAATAGATTTCTGAACTGGCGATGTTGTTGTTTGTAATTAAGCACAAAGCTACACAAAGGGCTATCTGTGCTCTGCCCACCACGGGTATCGAAACCCAGTTTCTAGCTATGCCGCTTGGGAACTGAATTGGCGAATTATTGTTCAGTCGGACTGTTCATCGGAACACCTAAGAACTGAATATTATTATTATTATTCATATTTCTAAATTAAATTTCAAATCTGTTTATGCATAATTTATTTGAACTTTTAATCATGCTATTTTATATTTTTGTCTTGTATAATAATTAATGAACAAAAATAAAAAATTAAGTCAGCATGTTAAGTTGATTTAAGTCATTGAACAGTGTTAAGCAATTGTTTTTAAGTAGTTATGCGAATGGTTCTCTATTACAAAAGTTAAAAATAAAAAATAATTTAAGCGACTATAGTATGCCTTCTCTACGTTGAATTCAGGAATTCCACAGCGGTATGTCTGCGGACTTACAACGCTAGAAACCGGGTTTCGATACCCGTGGTAGGCAGAGCACAGATAGCCTATTGTGTAGCTTTATGCATAATTACAAACAAACTATGAAATATATTTAAATGTATGATTTTACTTGGTAGTTTGTACCTCCCATTGTATATATGTATACTTGATGATGTACCAGTTCAACGCATGAGGAAGACATGGGGGACAGACCCTCTTTGGACGTCTTTCAACATCAAATTGTCTTCTTCGCTTTGCTTCTTTAGGAGCGTCATTTGACCGTGTCAGTTGTTTTCTCTCTGCTTCAGTGATACTATTTTTTCTAAGCTTTCTTGATGATCTCGTGCCATCCATCTGCTTTTCTTTCTCTTGCTAATGGACGTTTTCGTTCTTGCATTGTTTCTGAAGTATTTTTAATTTTATTCAGAAATTTAGTTTAGAATTTATTTCATAGATGGTGTTAGAAGTGTTCAATTGAAATGAAAAACTGAAGTGGCTTGATGCTGTGAACGTGTCATTTTTTAATTCGAATGTTAACCAATATCTCAGATCTCTGGTTTGATCTTTAACGATATTGAAAGAGATTGCTGTAAATATGGTAATTTATTAAACAAAATTAACATACATCCCCGACTCGACTGGGATTTAAACGCAAGGTTTTCAAGGTAGAATTGAGCGCTGTAATCACTGAGCCACTTTTGACAGTCAGTGATTGAAATCCAATGTTAACAAATATTAGTTTAAAATATCATGGTATTTCGTCCCTTTCAGAATATTTAAAAAGTTTGCTATAAAAACGATCCCTTATTTAATATATATATACAAACACCAGCATTTAAACACGAGACTTCCGCTTGAAGCGCGGGCACTCTAATTACTGAGGCAATTTGAGTATTACAAACAAACACTGGCTTTTATATATATATAGAAAACTATAGCTGACGAAAATTGAATATCACGGTTGACCCAATATTTGATGCACGTGTGGTTTTAGTCAACAGAAAAATCAGTGTGTATTACAGATAACAAATGCAAGTTTCATCTAATCGTAGCTGATCTGATGATGACAAAACCTTGTCGAAACATTGTACATTTGCTGTTATGTTAAACTTATATTAAAGTTTTCTTAATTACCCATTCAAGCAGGATACTATATGTCCATAAGTTTACAAAAAAATAATGATAAATAAACGTGACAGTGCAAAGCTTATCATCGTATAATTAATTTCTAGACCACATCTGTATTGTTGTGCACATATTGAACTAAATTCAAGGTATCTGAGTAAGCAAATCGACTTTTTTATTATTGAAACATTGTAATTCTTGACCTTCATTTGTACTTGAATGTTAAAAAGTCTGACTTTTGGTCATTACGCTATTCCAGCAACTGTTCAACTTTGAGAATTTTTGTTGACTGTGCTGAAATTTCCGAGAGCCAATACGCTAATGTATCGCATTAAATTAAATGGCGTAAAAGGTTCGCGATTAATAAACGTTCTTAGTGTGCGTTTACATTTTTGTTTATTTTGTTTACGTATAGAAAGTAAAGCAAAATGAGTCACAACGGCGCATTCAGCAATTGTGTAATTTATTACAAAACAACAACGTAAACATAGTACTACTATTTAACCTCTTAGCTTTAGGTTGTCATTATTATGATATTATTTGGGTGAATAACGTCACAAAATGACAAAATACAAACTTTTATTTACACTAAAAACTGTGAAGAACAATCATAATAAGACTGACAGTTTCTCAATGATTCATTATTTTGTCATTGACTTAATTTTGAGCTGTGTTGGTTAAGTTTTTAAGAGCAAAGCTGCGCAATGGACTACCTTCGCAATGGCCACCGAGGGAACGAGCCCTGACTTTTAGCCATTAAACTTATCGCTGAGCCACAGGGAGATGTAATGAAAAGAAACCAGTATCAGTTCTGAAAAAAAAAAAAGACTGAAGTATGTCACATCTGTAAAAAACGCCCCCTAGTGGTACAGCAGTATGTCTGCGGACTTACAACGCTAGAATCCGGGTTTCGATACCCGTGGTGGGCAGAGCACAGATAGCTCCTTGTGTAGCTTTGTGCTTAATTACAAACAAACAAACTGTAAAAAATAATAAATGTATGTAACAAAACAAATAGGAATAACTTTTCCACACAGCAACCCACTTTGTATCCATCAATTTTTAAAAAGAAACCCATTCGAAGCTTTTCTCTTTAAAAAAAACAACAATTCTGATTCATCCAATTCCGAGGGATGTAGATAGTTTCATTAATTTTATTTGTTAACAAGATAGCCATATATAGGGATGTAGATAGTTTCATTAATTTTAGTTGTTAACAAGATAGCCATATATAGGGATGTAGATAGTTTCATTAATTTTAGTTGTTAACAAGATAGCCATATATAGGGACGTAGATAGTTTCATTAATTTTGTTTGTTAACAAGATAGCCATATATATATAGAGACGC